TTTGCTATAGGGCATGTGCACTCGCCAGAGAGACAGAGACAGAAAGCGAGAAATCACCCCCAGGGGGGTGGCCACTCCACAACCCCTTGTCCTCCATTCTCCTCTCGGGATCTTGGGCACGCACGCACACGCGCCCGGCGTGAGTTTAAGCCACTGGACTGGGTCCAGGACTCAAACCGCGGTCGACTACATGGAAGTCCAGCGACGTAGCCATTACACTAACTGCTGGTCCCAATGACCGGCCACCCTTGACCTGGCTGACTGAGGAAGGCTGGGGAGACGATTGTGGTGTGACACTTGAGGATGCTTTTCTCGCTCTCTCAAGAGATAAACTTGAACAATAAAAACGAGACTGAACTTTCCTGTCACAACCAGGCCTTGTAATAACTGTCGAATGTCGGGGTGTCGGAAAAGTCATGGTGCATTTTTGTGTAGGAACGGTAAGTCGGACTTCCCGACCGCCCGGTAGACTCGGTACAGAACACACAGCTAGTACAAAAGCACGTGGCCTGGCCAAGCAGCTGCAGCCACACAGCCCACCGCCTGGCACGGCCGGCCGCGTGGCTCAGTCCCGGGCCAACCTGAGGAAGGGGTGCGCAGGCCTGTGCCCAGAATCCCCAAAGGGGAGCGGGGTGGAGAAGGGTTGGCGAGTGGCCGTCCCGGGGTGCTGTCTCCTGCTGTCGCACGCTGGCAAGCGTAGCCGACCTCTCCCGCAAACATGCCCGTCACGCCGTGTGTGGAGGGCAGCCTCGCACCTCGCCCTCGCCCCTGCGCTTCTCCCTCAGACCACGGGATGACCCCACGGGGAGCCTCCGTGGCGGGCCCCTGAGCGGGTGACGGCTGTTCTGCTGCTGTGTGTGCTGCTGGGCATCGTCGGCGCCGTGGTGTGGCTGTGCCCCGGCTTCCTGGAGTGCAGAGGGGACCCCAGGAGTGCAGAGCCACTGGTGCCAGAGCGGCAGAAGTGAACGCATGGAGCCTGGAGTGTGGGAGGCCCTTCACCACATGGCCAAGGCCCAGCCCCGGACTACTGGCCGCTCTGTTCTTTGTTTTGCTTTGCTTTGCTTTGAGAGAGATTTTTGCTATAGGGCATGTGCACTCACAGAAAGACAGAAAGGAGGAATCATTCCCTGGGGGTGGCCACGCCACAGTCCCTCCTCCATTCTCTGACCTCAGGACCTTGGGCACACATGCACACACCCCCACCCTGAGTTGTTTTTTTGTTTCTGCTTTTTTTTTTTTAGAACTATTTTATTTAACTTATTTACTTTGATTTGATCAGAGAGGGACCGAGAGAGAGAGAGAGAGAGAGAGAGAGCGAGAAGGAAAGCGAGAAAGCAA